TCGAGTAAAGACCCAAAGATTGAACAGAGTGGAACGATCATGGAAGAAGTCAAAAACGTCAAATACCTCGGCTCTGTACTGGCAAGGGATGAAAAGTGCAACTTGAAATTAGCGCTGGAGTCTGTGAGCTTCGGGCGATTTTCTGACAAGGCCATCTATCCGGACTGCAACAAAATCACCGCCGTCTTCTCAATCCTGATGTACAGGCTTTGAAACATAAACCCTTTTAAAGCGGTATGAAAGGACATTGGACGGTTTTCAGCAACGCTGCCTGCGGAACACACTGGAAGTGCGATGGTTCCATCGCATAAAGAACGAATAGGTATTGCAAATGACCGGCTTGAAAATGGTGTATGAAAAAATCATAGACCGGCGTCTGTCATGGCTTGGCTGAACCATCCGGAAAGAGAATGGAGACTTATCCAAAGCCATTCTCCTTTCGGTAGCAAAGGATGGCCGTAGGTTCGTCAGAGGCTAACATCCACCCTAAAGCAACTGCTAGCGGCGGACTTGCTTGGAAGATGAACATAACCTTTGCCGCAGCAACCAACATCGCCTAATTCATTCTGAGAAGCCAAAGCGTCAGATATCAATAATCCGGGTTCTCGGTTCCTCAGCATGATATTCCAGATAACGAAGACAACAATTGACTTCAGAAATGTTGGCTAGTGATGACTATAGTGATTCTGGCGTGTATCGGCGTATCGGACTGGCATCAGCGAATTATGGCACGCTGCATAACGCATAGAAGGATCGAATTATAAGAAAGAGCATGAAGATCACCATGTTCGCGGTGCTCATGCATAGCGTCGAAATATCTGTCGTCCTGAAGCTCGAATAAACAATTTCTAACAATGGCGTCTGCGCAGCAATCTCGAAGTGCGACGGTTCCAACGGGTCAGAAGGAGTAGGTGGTGACGACCACCAATTTAAGAAAATTATCAGATGAACTCCGAGACTTGCACCTGGAATTGGTAAAACAGTCCAAAAAGTGAATGGAGATACATTCAAAACTAACTCTTACGATCCGTTTGGGAACTGGAGAATTGGCTGGAGCAGCGAGGGAGGTCAATGCAAAACGTGCAAATGTTCCGTTGAGATACACCTGCTTGCGGAGAGGAATGTGAACTTTGCAACAACGGTTAACTTTACCTAATATCAATCTTAAGTAACATTTCTATCGATCAGAGATCATAAATGTGGGTTACTCTGCTAAACTCCGATGACGATTAAACAACCACAGCTTGTTTTGAATGCTAAGTTGCCCTAGGCCTGTCGATACCTAATGCTACAATAAATCCGAAATATATCACTGGGCAACGTAGGATGAGGAAATTGTCGAAGTGTTTTTCGGCTGCTTTTTGTACCGAACCTTTGAAGTTCAAATCTATCGACAATATCAATGCCATTCAGGTAGTCTTGGCAAGGACTACCTTCAGGCAGACGCACTTTAAAGTGATGCGTAACGGTCTTTGGAAGCAAGGGTGTGTGTTAAAGCAGTTTTGTTAAAGGTAAGCTGACGTTTATGTGAAAAAGTTTTCATTTTTCTTTTGCAATGCCAACTTAGTTGGTTTTGAGTTTGACGGACAAACACTGGTTTTGTAGAATCCGTGAACGAACCGGACGCGTGGCGCACTTTCTCTTTTCCCGTAAGCTAACAAACTGTCGCTGCCCCCGTCATTCTGAACTTCAAATACGAGCGAAAGCGACAGATCAATCGGACAAATGAGCAAACCATAAACGTCCTCAATGTTTTTATGACGTAGAACATCATTTCGAGTCACTGGTGACCAGACTAAGATCAACTGCACTGAGAACTGAAGGGTCAGTCTCGAATTCGCCGTCAGTATATTCTTAAATAGTTTAGAACGCAACTTTTGTTAAGTTTAAGTATGCCGTTGTCGATTTTAAAACGTAGATGAGAAAGAAGCTCTTTAGATTTTGGCTACTGTTAGATAAGCAATCCAGCGCTTCACTTGTTGTACTCAAGACCTGCATATACTTAAGACAACTGAAATGCAAGCCACTATTTCTTGCAGCAAATGCTATGAATTGTGTAGCAGTGATATATATATATATAGAATAAAACTTGAATATCGTTTCAAGGTTAAAATTACGGGACATCCTTGGAATAAATGGAAACGTTGCAGGTCGAAAAATCACTTTGTTACTGAATAAAATAAAGATATATATATCTAGCATCAATCGGGGTGGTCGCTGATAATCAGTTAAAATATAAATGAACTGATCGTGTCTGAATTAGTGCATGGTCATTCTGCGTCCTGTCAATTATTTGGAATATGTGCTGAAAAGCAGTGAAACTTATTAACCGTTAGAAGTACTAAGCCAGAACTGAAGTGGAACGCTGCTAGTTCAATCCATAAAAACTTCTACTGTCTTTCTAGAGCTTTAAAACGAAACACAAATAAGTTTAATATAAACCTATTCGATGCCAATTCCTGCACGCTGAAACATGTTGATCACGACTCGCACAGACAGACATTCAAAGAAGCAGAGGACCAAATGAGGCATGAAAGTTCGCAAAATAAAACATATAGTGCTCAGAGCATGTGACAATATTCGTAAGCTCTACTTAAGTAACCGTAACCCAAGCATGCATTCAGGAATACATTTGTGTCAGGTTTATCTAACAGGAGTTCAGCATCATTCTGTAGAGGACAGATTATATGAAACCATTTCATAACTTTCTAGTCGTATCAATGTGAACGTTAGCATCTCCATTTCTGTCGAATTTCCAAAACTGCGTCTACTTCAACATCTACAAGGATAGCTCTTGCATGGTAGAGGGCGAGCTTGGTTCAATGGTTTTCATGATCCTTACTGAATAACTGCAGATAGACATGTCTGACAGATCACAGCTTCAGACGTAGAAATTGACAATCGAGCAAAGATGACTCACGGCATCTAAATATGTTAAAATAGAAAATCGCTGTCTTCGCAAAATAACAACCGGGAACTTTTCATTTCTTCACTTCTAGCAGATTTTCCGCGCTTCCAAAAAGAGAAATAAAAGTGATTGCACGACAAACTTGCCATTTTGTCCGTATCGCCACTCAAGCTTTGCCAGACCCCAATTTAAAACAGCACAGCAGTGGTGTACAGCAGTTCACTTACGACCAATCTGTTAAACGACTGTTTGATTGCTATTGCTACAACTGCCCTTTAAGTAAAACATACTGAGCGTTTAACATTCCACTCTAGATTAAGCAACGAACTCGGCTGTAATATACTACGATGCGACTTCGAGGTTAATAATTTTTTCTTTCTTAAAATGTGATGAATACCCTAGAATTATGACAATTCTCTGAGAAAAACTTCAGAAATTTACTTTTTCTAGATGAACCTAGGACAGTGATCATGAAGTGCTGCTTTCACAAACATCACAAACAAGCACACTATCGCTGAAGATTTCCTCTAAGCTGAACTAGCAGAGACAGAAGTGATGTACTTTGATGAACTGGCTAGCCGGTTGGATTTACAAATATTTACAATATCGGTCTAACTGTATAATTCGAAGAGAACTATTTGATCGATTACTTTCATATGTGATTAAGCAAAGCGTGATGAACTGTTTTACAATATATATGTTTGGGCTTGGAAATACTAATCAGCAATGATTCAGAGTCCATGAATTTTCAACTGCTCAATGACTGCTGGTGTAGTGGCCTTCAGCCGTCGACTCTTTTGATCTTGAACTCTGCACACTTACAGTAAGACAG